ACGCTCTTCGCGAAACAGAACAAACGAACAAAACCCTTGGTGAGAATTGTTATCCTGGATTCCCCAGTTGAGGAAACTGAGGCTCAGAGAGCAAATCACTTTCTTGAGTCACACAGCTGCAAGGCAAGGGTGGAGATGCCACACTGTCGCTTCCACACCCCATTTCTCCAGAGTGGAAGACTGCCACCTCACAACGGGCACTGGCAAGCAGCGCAGGGCACAATGGCTCCGGTGAGCTGGGTGGGACAGACTCTTGCATGTCAGGCACGGAGGCGCTGCCATTATCCTGCGACTACTTTCAATGTCCCTTCAGTACAAGCTGCTTCACGAGGGTGAGGTCGCCGCACGTGATGAGCCCTGCAAATGGTTGGTCAGGGTAGGATTAGGTCACATGGCCAACCCACAGAACTTGGAGGAACTGGACAGGGTTGCTGGCCTCCTAATCTCTAAAGAAGATGGAAGCCAACTATCAAGTGTCTTTGTGCCAGGCACTGTGTGAGATTCTTTAATGCCCCAAAACTTGATATTGTTTTCCTCGTTTTACAGATGAGAAAACTGAGGACTGGCAGAGCAGCAGACTGCTTAAGTGAAAATCAAAGGCGGATCTGAGATTTGAATCCAGATCTGATTGACTTGAAGTCATTCTCTCAAATTCATGCAGAACTGAATGAACTACAAGGCAGAGCAGCTTTGTGACAAGTGGTTTCATAAAGGGCGAGCTGAGCACTGGGGGAGTAATTTGAATGGGATGGGAAGGGTTCCTGGAGGAGACGGCATCCGAGGTCACCCTTCTAAGAGAGGTGGGGATGGGGTGGTGAGGGGAGAGAAGGACACGCACAGGCAACCAGGGGCCGCAAATGGCAGGATGTATTTAGGGGAACACTGTGATGGGGTCCAGGGCACTGAGGGCTTTTAACTGGGACATAAATTTGGAAACGTATGTTGGGGCCCAACAGAGAAGGAACTTGAATGTCAGGCCAGGGAGCTCAGCCTGAAGTCTGTAAACTGTGGGTAGCTAAGATCATAACTACTGTTAGAGCCATGGGACATTGGACCTGGAAGGAACCAGATGACCTGTCCAAACTCCTCCTTTTTCTGAGGCCCAGAGAGAAGTGACTCAGCCAAGGTCACCTGAGGGTCAGCAGAACCTGGGCTAGAAGCCAGGTCTTGGGACTCACCCCCTGCCTCCCCACATCCACAAGTCTGTCAGACCACGTGTTAGAACTACCGGGGAGGCGTCCAAAATTCATCCCCTGCTCTGAAGCCCATGACTCGGGGAGGTACCTCAAAGATCCACCTGCTCTTCAAAAAAACACAACTTCACCCTTGAGCTTAAGAGGGTTATTGCAAAATAAATAAAAAGATGCTAAACTTCGGTTATCACTTTTTAAAATGCAAATCAAAACAATGGGATGCTATTTTTCACCTAAGCGACCAGTGAAGCAAAGTTTGACAATGCCCATGGCTAGCGAGGATGCGGTCCTTCGGGCAGTCCGCTGTCCCACTGGTAGGAGTCTAAATGGGGCAGCCTTTTGCAAAACTATTTGGTGAGATCTATAAAACTCAAAACAATACATACCTTTTTCACAGCAACTCCAATTCTAGGGATTTATTTAGCCTATGGCTATACTGGATCAAGTGTGCAAAGTGTGTAGAGGGATGTTTATTGCAGGACTTTTGTAATTGTGAAAAACTGGGGGGGAAAAAAAACCCTTACTCACCAGTAGAGTCTAATTGAGTCATCATACATCAATACAAAGGAATAATAATGCAGCCATTTCTCAAGTGCAATGGATGTATATGCACTGACATGGAAAATGTTTAAGACATAGGCAGTGAAGCGAGTAAGCTGAGGAGAATGTGCACAGTGCGAATCTCATTCGTGTAAGAAAACAAAACATATACATGCTTTTAGATACGTAGGAAATATCTGAAAAGATACACAAAAACTGTTAACAGGGGTTATCTTTGGGGAGAGGATGGGAGCGGGAAGGGAGGACCTCTGCCCTAAGCCCTGTGTATTTTAAAATTTCTTTCTTGTCTGTCTTCCTTTTTTTTGTTCCTTTATTTCACCCTTTCTTTCTGTTTTGCTCCTTAAAATAAAAAAAAAAACAACTGTATGTATTATTTTTATAATTTAAAAAATTAGTAAGAAAATTAAAAAGAAAAGATTTTGCCGACAGCTCGTAGGTAGAGATTTTAACTTCTGTTTAAAAGAAGCCTTAGAGGCAGACTAAGTCTATATTCAAATTTACAAAATAGGTAGAATGTTTTTTATTAATACACCTAAGGTCTAATAACCTTAGGCCCTGACAGCTATTGTTTTGGGTTTTATGGTTTGATATTTATTTATTTGTCCCATATTTATTTTGTGTCTGTGAGTCAGGCATTGGGACTGAAGCAGGAGGCTGTGAGTCTCCTGCGCAGGGTCATTTAAATCAATCCCAGACATCGTATACAGAAGGGAGGAGGCTGAGAGGCAGAACAGATGCCTACAGAGGAATGCACCCCCTCCATAAACACGCACTGGGTATTACCGATGTGTCCCCAGGGAGCCAGGGACATTATAATAATGCGATAGGATCCCTGCCCTCTCTTGAAAAGTTTCCACTATGGTGGAGACAGACACAAATGGAAAATTGTAAATTACCAACAAAATGTGGTGACCGTGGTAATGGGGTGATGCAGAAGGTACTGTCTGTGTGCACAGGACACTTAATCCAGCCTAGAGGCTGAGGGAGACCACCTGGAGGAATGGGGAGTCCTGGCTGAGTCTGGAAAGTTGGCGGAGCTCGATGAGCAGCAAGAGGAGCAGGGAACTGTGAGGTTCTTAGCAGAGAACAGCACGGGGAAGGAGCAGAATTGCGAAAGGGTAGACTGAGCTGTTCATTTACACACCCTGCTCAGGAGTTTTGACTTTATCTAGAGTGCAATAAGGTAACATGATCTAAAGTTTGTGCTTTAAAAATGTCACTCTGGCCACATTTGGAGATGGAGCATAGGAAGAAGAGGGAAAGATGAGGAAAAAAGTGTCCCAACGAGTCACTTCAACAGCAGAACTCTGATTTGCACCACGACTATGGGCCACCTGTCCTATTATTCACTTAATATTTTCTTAAATTTGCTCATTTAAAAATATAGTTTATTGAAACAGGAAACCAGTGAATAAGAAACAAAAACAAGGTACCAG